CAATGCTCCGGGGACAGACTGGACGCACCACTATATTCTAGCCACAGGAAATCAGGAGCCACTTAACTGCTACGATGGACGAACGACACTGCTGGGGATGAAAAATACGAATTAGTGGCTATGGGGATAGGCATAGAGAAACGAATAAAAAAGAGAGTTGTCAAACCTGCAATAAAAGTTGGCACCACGTTTAGAGCGACACACTTGGCAACTGGGTGGAACTAGTTACTATGATCGATAAAAAAGATTCTCTAGTTACCGATTGAGATAAGGCGGTTTATTTCAAACCTTTACTTTCAAAATTTTTATTAATCATGAAATTACAAAAAAAAATTAAAAATTAAAAAAATATATTTTATTCCATTCAAGACTAGAGAACTACATATTATGAAACAATAAGTGAATAAAACTCTGAAAAAAAACAAAATGAGATATAAACTCTTCAGCCTAATAATGACTAAACATCATACAAAAAGGAAACAAACTAAAATGATTAGAATTATGAATAAATGAATAACTAACTCTGAAAAAAAAATTGTCCTGCTACATAATATGTTGCGTGGGTGTCAAATTCTGAGTCAGAAAACACAATATCGAAATTTGGAATAACCAATTCATTCAACTCATTGACAAGAACTGATGATGGATCTGGCTCCACTGGGCAAGTTAAAAATGAGTTGAGATTATCCAATTTGGTAGTCACATCGTCGACAATTTTTGTTGGCATTTTTAGGTATTATCAAGTTATTCAACACTTGCTTGCACACTTGAATTTATATGCACGGGGTCCTGACATCTCACCACACTTTCACATCTGTGATATTCTTTTAATCTGAAATACTGAAATATTACATAAAACTGAAATCAGTTAACATGCGTTCTTCAAGAATACCTACTTCAATTCGATAAAATGTATGTTTAATTCAGTTCCGTTCATAATTCGGTTAGTTCAGAATGAAAGAATATCACTAATGTTTTAGAAAAATGTACCTACGTGCAACCTACATGAATATCATCAATTTCACCTTGTAAATAATATGAATAAACTCGGAAATAAAGTAAAATAAATGTGAAAAAGAAACTCGAATTTCAGTATCAACATCAACATCAACTCGGAAAATAAACAATATCTGTTGTATTCCATTGGTCTGTTCCTTCGTTCTAAAATGGAACTTGCTGAAGTTGATGTTTTTCCATAGTTGTCTCTGTTCATAGCATGATATAAACAGAGAAAGTCATAGAAAAAAAAATTAATTTCAGCAAGTAGAGCAAACACATACGATCAGGCCTTATACTGTCGTGCTGTCGAGTGTCGAAATTCAAAATGTTTCATGTCATGACTCGTTTGTCGATTGCGAACAGCGCCTCTATGCGCGACTGGGTTGCGCACAAACTTGATGGTCAAAATTTACTATGTTTTGAACAGTCTCTTTATTTTTGGTTTGTCTATGGGGATAGGCGAACAACCAGTAGCGCATCTGCGATTCTGTTCTGGGGGGGAGAGGAGATGAATATTTCATTGAAATTATTTTTTTCAATATTGCAGAAATTTAGTGAAGATGAAAAAAATAGCACTAGGATTTTACAGATCTAAATAGTGTGCCATCGAACAATTCAATGAATAAGTTACTGAATAATTTCGAAATTCAATTGTTTTAGTAAATATTCGATCAGGTGCTTATGAACTTTCCATTACTATTGATCTCACCACCGCAAACCGTTTCTTGCTGTGAGCTTCCTACGGTTTATAAAAAATTATTGAAATCCCCGATTTTTCGGACCTCTGAAAACGAGGCGATGATGTGACGTCAAAACCCTAATACTGAAACAAGACTATTCCAGACAGAGATGAATGATACATGATTTCTGACAGAGTGAATTAGCGCGAGATCACAGTTGAAAGAATTAATATATCAGTTGCCTCAGTCTCCGTCGGGCGTTTGGTATTTTCTTTCAACTATGGCGAGATGAGGTTTCTACGTCATAAGAGGGTCTGTTTTCAGAAGGTACTATTATTTATGTCCAAAAATAAAACGTTCCAGTTAAGGTGTACACGCCCATTCATATAACCTGTTTGTGAGAGATTTCATTCCCATATCACTGATACGAATGATTTTCTTGGGAGTTTCAAGCTCATCAAGTTCAGAGTTCATACAAGTATACTTCTCCTATACATTTCGATTTTCATTTCAATACTGAACATATATCGGTAAGTTATATATTCATATCATAATATACATCATATTATTATTCAGATTTGAGAGATGATGTCAATTCTCAATTTCAGAGGATCTTGATTTTTCATGATCTTTTTTTGGACATTCAACAGATATTATTCAATGTTCGACGTGGCAAATAGCCAGGAAAGTAGTTGTTTTCTGCTGAATATTCAGAATCATATTATATACATATCTTCATATGAAGGAAAATGCGAATTCTCTATTTCAGAATATTTTGTTTTCAAATTCTCATCGTGTGTGTTCAATAGATGTAATTCAATATTCGTCGTGGCATATAGCAAGAAAAGTAGTTGTTTTCTGTTGAATAAACCGTGGAAGAATTGATGGGGAATGCGAATTCTCAATGTATTTCTTTATAAATATATACATTTTTTTGTGTTCATGAATATATCTGATAATATTCCTTTTCGAATATTTTTTCATTTGAAACTTCTTCACATGAAATATTCATATATAGTTCACCATCAAAATTCAATGTTTCAGTGATTTAAATGATTTCAATTCGAAATTCGTAGATATAGAGGGGGTTCAAAAAGTATAAATTTTCAAAATTAAAATGGAAACAGTTATGCAAAATCTGATTAGGTCATCTTCAGCTTCACATGAAGTGGAAAACTAGACGCACTGCCATCATCAACGATTGTCATGTCGTTGGAATTTGTATTATGATTAAAAGGTTAGCGATGTCACTTATGTCTTCAGGTTGATATTGAAAGTATTTTGGGTGGAGTTTAGTGTTCAATCCTAAATCAGAAAATATTATGACATTCAATGATAGCCTGCTGCTGATTAGTCATTTCAGTCCCTTTATGATTAAACTACCAATGAGGAAGCGAAATACTAGAACGAAAAGTCGAAAACACAGCATGTTTTCTATCATCTTGTATTAGGTGGAATAATATATTGAATTTTTATTATAGGCTCTATATATAATAGTGAAATTTTCAAACGTTCAAACGCAGTGACATTCAGAAACAATTCAACTGATTTGTCCATTCTACACACATATTGAAGTAATGCTAAAATATTTCTGTTCATTCAGAGTGTCCCAAAATTACATAGACAGATTTCAACCACAGACTACATGAAAAAGATAGTAGAAAAAAATCATTTTTGAAATCCTATGTGAAATTTCAAAATTTTGTGAATGTACATATGACTCTTCATGCCCGATTTAGAAATATTGAGAACTTGTCGAAATTTTGACCAGAAAATATGGAAATCTCAAAATTTTCACTCGAAAATCGTACCCCTGTTTAGTTTCGATAGCACTCGCTATTTTCGAGATGAATCGATTCTGAAACTCTGCTGCGTAATAAAAAAGTGCTTTTTCCTCAATAGGGTACCGAATATTTCCAAAAATTATGTATCGATGGAAAGCACCCCTTGTTTTGACATCCTCTCTCGATGCTTGATTCCAAATATAGGGAATGCAATAAAAATAATGAATCGAAAAATGATATGGGGTTGGTTTCCTAATACTATATATTTATTTCGCAGCAGACTATCAAAATCGATTCATCTCGAAAAAAGCAAGTGCTATCAAAACTCACCAAGAGTATCATTTTCAGGTGAAAATGAAGATACTTCAATGTCTATAGATTAAACTGCCGGAAAAGTGCCCCTAGCTCTACCTATTTCCCATGCCCCTGATCAAAGTTTCGGAAAATTCTTAAAATTTCCTGAAAGAGCATGAAAAGTTAGGCACATACACGAAATTTGGTTATTTCATCAAGAATGGTTTCCAAAATATTCACAAAAAACGATCATCTCGAGTCCTTCTTCAGATGGCTAAAATCATAACCCCTCATCAGGAGGCCATTTCTGGACCCATATTTATATGAACTTTCTCACTATTTTTGTTCCTAGAATCTATGGTTGAAATCCTTCTATGTAAATCCCAAACAATCTATAGAAATTGCTTTGCTCAGTTCATAGTGGAAATGTATATCATATTATAATATGTTCACACGATTGCTCTCCGAAAAGAAAGCTTCAAGCTTCCAGATGATGTATCTTGCAGAGCTCGTCGCTTTTTGCTTAACGTTATTCCTTCCCATTGCTGAGTGTATATATGAACTTATTGGTCCGAAGGGTGAGATATATATCTTTTATATCCATTTTCGCAGGTTTGTTCATGTGAAATTGAAAATGTTCCTGTATACGGAAAATATGTTTGCGCCAAGTCCGACACAATCAAATTTATTATTTTGGTTTCTTTTTGTCATCTTCGTTCCGCTCACCAGGAATATGGGCATCGAATATGCTCATCTTCACAATAATCATTCTTGTATATATATTTTCATGCAAGGAAGGTAGTATAAAAAGTATTTATATGAGATAGGTATACGAAGAAAAGAGAAATCTAATTCATCTCCACATTATTCGAAAACATATTTCGTATTCATAGAGCTCATCACTAGCCAAAAGTTACAAAATTATCTATAAAACTACCATCAACGGAATGAAAAATTAGTGGCAGAATGAATCTTCAGCTAAATCTAGGTTTCCTCACTCTATGTGATTTCATGTAAGTACCAATATAACTTTCACCAACATGATATAACAATATAAGAAATTGTAACGATGAATGCATTTCTTCTAAATTGCTATCAAAGTTTCCTGATTCACTGCAAATCATCAAACATTCACAAATTACATATTAACTATGAATGAAAATATTTTGAAGAATATTCGAAGCAATATCATAATATATAGCACAGCTGAGAGTGACGGTTAGAATTTCATCAAATTACTCACCATGTAAAGCTTTGAGATATGCTTTCCCTGCATTGATCATTTGCCTTGCTCCTGGATTGAATTTTTCAAGAATATTCTGAAACAAAAAAAAACATATATATATGGTGTTTTACTCGTTACTCGAAGTTGTTACATCTATATTTCAGTCTTCCAACATTTTTCAATTAGCATTGAACTACAGTTGGATTTTTTTTCCATTTCATTGATATAATGTGAGAAGTTATTCTTCATTATTTGAATACTCTTATATTTGTCGTCAGGTAAAATAATTATTCGATTTTTTTCACCAATTTCTATACAAACAATAGCACCTATACAGAATCACACTGCAATTACAACAATTATTGACTTCAACAAAATGTTATACTGATGAATAATTGGCATTCAAAATGAACCTATATACTTATCTGGCAAATTTCCATCTGATATTGGAAACAATATAATAACAGATTTGTTTCACAATAGTAGGTGTGAGATAAAAGTCAATGTGAGAATGAGTGATGTGATATGAAATTATTCACTTTCTTCCTCATATTATGACTCCAATGCCTGCAAACCTATTATTAGTGAACATAAAGAGATTGTTGAATACACCTAAAATCACACTTTCACGAATCATTTTTGGCATCAATCAATACCTACCTGATAATACAGGACTTTGAAATCTTTGTTTCCTGATTTTTCGCTTCTATAACTATAGCACCTTCGTATTCCAAACTTGACAGTCCTTTATGCCGTAGTTCATTAGAGGAATAAGCGGCAGATATGTTACAATCTTTCCTAGCAAGTCTGTGCTGCAAGTTGACATAGTATTTCAATGGTCCTACGATGTAACAATCTTTCATATATAGTCTGTGCATTGTCGATCTAAATGGAAACCTAGTAGGCGACCTAGTGCGAGGAGGTATAATAAGCTCGTGATGCCTACTAACTACCTAACTAGGTTGTCCTCTAGAACGACAATGGTCAGTGCAACGATATAGGGTTAGGTTTGCAAAAATGCAGCTACTGTCAAGTCTCATAGTGAAGTGTCTAAGATGTCAATTATGGCTCTGGTGAATTGGTAACTTCCTAATATTCCTGTGGTATCTGTGATGATATCATCAGAAGACATTAAGAGATCATTTATGAGATAATATGTATATGATAATTAACCATGACACTTCCTCAATTCACCTCTAAATTATCTTCAGCAATCAATTCCTGATTATATACAAGGTCAACTTCATTGTTCCATTCACAGGTTGTGATTTATGGAAACCATTGGTTAACTGAGCTCGAAATAGTCAAGTTTTCAGAATTTGGGGTATCGCCGAATATATACTATTATACCAGAATAATAGCCACGAATTGAAAATTCTAGGGAAAATCGCTTCCTCTAGCCTAATGATGTCTAGTGAAAGCTCTTCAAATAAAACATTCGCGAATTAAAGTTTCATACTGGTCTGTTTCACAACATATCCCACAATTTGCTGAAGAGTTCCTAGTTATAGAAAACCCCTCCCTGCTCACAAATAAAATGAAATATATCATAGTGACATCCAGAAATATGCCATTAGCGCGACTGCGTTTTGGAAGCCGAACAAATTCGGCCATATTGATAGACTTGGCAAGGAATACTTGGAACTGCGGGAAAAATCGGAACAAAACATCATATTTTCAAATTACCTCCTGAAATCAACAGCTGATTTCATTTTGAAACATTGTATCGTGCGTATAGTTTGTTCGTATGGTTAAAATACTAGTTGATTGAAAATAAGTGGAGTTTGAATATTGTTTTAATAATGTTGTTTATCATTTTGAAGCTATAAGAATGTTCGATGCTCTTGGTGATGAGTGTGGACTGTATTTCGATCGTTGAATAAAAACTGATATGATATGAAGAATAAAAGGGAAATTGCAACCGATTGCAATTTCTCTCCCAACTTTTGATTCAATCTCATGTTTCAACAACACGTCGTCATGAGAACAACAAATGAAATCCTATCCTATATAGGGTAATACCACTAGCAACTACCATTATACAGGATCATACAGGTAAAGTACTGGACATACATGGTGTCTTAACTACTTGACCTAAATATAACATAAAGGGTGATGTACAAAGTACCAAACAAAGAAGGAATATCACAGAAAGAACCAGTATTGAAAGCTTCAAGTCTAAAGACATGCTCAACTTTGAACAGAGTTGCCAATATTTTTTTTCCATTGCAAAAGTCAGAGTTGGAAAAATTCGCTGAAAACTTGGAACAGGATGGTACTCATCTATTTGTGATCATGATAGGTACCTGATAAGACCTTTTCTCCATCCACCACCCCACAACAACCTCCTAAACTCTCCACCAACACCACCAAAGAGTTAATTTTTGTAACAATGCTATAGGTATGATGTTTTCTCTTTGAAATCATTTATTCATCGCATTACTTTATCACAAACTTGGAACATAGATATTTTTCCTAAATACCTTCCTAACGACTGAACCGGCAAATATGAATATTTGTATAATTATAGTACATTAACTCATAAATATTTTGGGATAGGACGAGATTCCTTACTATGAACAATAACTTTGCCATGAGTATTTGTATCTGAAGAATCTTCCAAGTATCCCTATTCTACGCGGTAATTGTTTATTGACTCTGTATCATTTCTGGTGAAATAAAGAGCACAGAATCGAGGAAGTTCAAAAAACCTTCTTCACGTTACTGTTTTACAATAAAGAAAGGACTATGTATATAATGACGCTCCATCGACATGTTGCCTTGTATATTCTTCCTGAAATTAGCCTATGAATCATGAACATGATTCCAGTAACTTCTTTGATTCATTACTATATCTCCACATTCACCTGATGGCATCTGTATGGATTCATAGATTATGGAGTCCAATATAACAAGATATATCAAAGGAATTCCACCTCGAACTTCACCAATCAATATATTTCACTACCACTACTTGGAGTCCAATGAATACCACCTCATAAGTTTTAATTGAATCAAACGAAGAATATTACATAACATTCCTCTGCTAACTATATATTCGGAATATTGTGATTTAATATTAATGATGCATTTCTGAAACTATAATCCAATAATTTCACGAATAAATTGAAAATATTAACTGCACTCCACAATGCAAACAATTACAAAAGCAATAATGGCGGCACAAAAATAATAACAGATGACTCATTGAAAACTTCACATTATCTATCTACTTGCCATCTATATCGGATTAGAAGCTTCACTATTTCAGTCGGCCATGACAGTTTCATTTGAGGGCGGTTTTCTATATGGTCCTAGTGCAAATAAGCTTTTTCTGAGAATGTTCCAGAAAAACAGTCCAGCAGATAATTTCGAATTAAATGAAAATATCAAAAACCAGGAGATGTTGAAACGATCCACATAAATGTCGAAGAAATCATATATAATAGCGAGTATAAGCGTTACCACCGATACAACAAGGCCTGCATGCTCCGTGGGTGACGTCACTTAGTGAGGCCTAACCAGCGGCTCGAAACGACAAGCGCTTATAGCGCTATAAGGCGACCGCGTATTTCGATTTTAGTTTTAGATCATCATTGAGCCTATTTTGCTGTTTTTTGAAGGGCTTCCGGTTAAAAAAGGATGCCAGTCGTCAACTGAGCCCTTCTTCGCACCTCATTCGATTTTATTATGGAAAAACGAAGTTTTAAAGCAAAAACCAGGATAAAACACAAATATCCACCTACAGCAACCCATTCGAATTAAATATATTGGCAAAAATTGTGGTGGAGGTAAACTTCACACCTACTTATACAGGGCTCGCAGAACATAAACTTATCGTGAGATTGATCGAAAGAAAATTGTGGAAAATGTATTTTATTTTGATTGTCTTGCCGTTTGTTACAATAACCTATATTTATCTTGGAGAATTCCTATTACCTGAAAAAATAATCAATAGTCAATCAAAATACGAGATGTCAAATGTCAATAGATTTCTTTCGAATGACATTACACACGCCATTATCTTTTCACTGAATATGGATTAATCTCAAGAAAATCATATTAATAGTTGAATTATATATAAATTGTCCAATATGATGAAAAAAGAAGGGAAATTTGTTCTAAATGCCATCCAGAAGACAGGTGAAAAAAAAAGTGAAATTTGGAACTTTTTAGTCAAATATCTTCATGATATGTCCAACGGGAAACTAAAAGCATGAACTTTTGAACCACCCACATAATTCCCCCGACAAAAGGGAACACAATACTTGAAAGGCATTGTTATTTCGCCGATCAAAACACAAAATATTTCACAAAACAGTAATTTTTCCGCCAATTATTTTGATGAATAAACAACAAAAGAATTCGGGACCGTTTCAAAAACATACGTGAATCACCGATGAATTAACACGAACTGACGCGTTAGTCGACAAGCGATAAAATAAAACACTGGCCTCTCTTGGTGACGTCACGAGCTGTTTACGTCAGAGTCTGCTGGCCTTGTTGTATCGGTGGTAACGGTATATGAAGTTTCTGATTAGATCTGTCAAAACTGAATAAGTTGAACAATCACTGGAGAATATCACGAGAGATACTATAGAGTCAGCTAATCTTCATTTATTGCGAATATAATGTCTCTAATTCCAATTCTATCTATCGGTATAGTTTGCATGAAAACAAGCCATTTCAGCAGAACAAAATCTCAGCATTCCTCTACACATTTCCTTGATTGCAGATTGCGTTTCATTCTCCACGCATTCGTGCGAAATGCCATAAGTCTTTACGCAAATCGTAATGCCTCTGCTAATTAATTCTAATAGCATTGCATAGGATCACGATATACCTCGTTGCATGCTGCCTGGAGATAAAGGAATAAACCTGTTGTGTTCTCGGAACAGAGGATTTAGTTAATGCTAGGTGCATCAAGCCATGCTTCAGGATAACTGCAGAAGTATATACCATAATATTCTTGATATTATTTTTTCATTATAGCGATTGGAATTCAATTCAATTCAATTCAATTTATTGATGGCAATGTACAACATAGTGAATATAATCAAAGTGATATTAAATGAGTATCATTAAATAATAACT